CAAAAACTTAAAAAAAAAAAAAAAAAAAAAGAATAAATAAAAATAACTCCTACAAGTTATTTAAAAAGTATATAAGAAAATATAGGTGGCATATTTTTACATCACAAATGCCAAAAAAGCAAATAAATATATTCCTATATCGATATGAATACATACCATTCAGCCTTTTCTTTTTCTTCTTCATCTAAATAAGAAAATTCTCTCCAAGAATCAAAATTATACCTAATTTGCATGGAAAATTAAGACAGAATAACTGAAAATTACTTTTGAAATGAAGTTAGATCACACAATTTTAAAAGCAGTAAAGGCAAGTAGACAAGTGTGTAAAATCAGACCCCTTCCCTCCCTTTTTATATTAAACCAACACTGTACTCAAGCTCTCAATGCCATCATGTTTTTCTAACAGAACATTTGGTATGAAATGTGAAATACATTCAGTACTCCTAAATCAAAACCACACTTCCTTGCTCTCTCTTTGTAGGTTTCTCTCTTGCGTAGGATCTGTTGAAGTTTCCCTTGCCTTCACTTTTACTGGTCTGGCAAGTCTAAAGGTAATTCTAGTAATGGTTATTTTATTTCTGGTTTGTCCTCGGAACATAAAAGCAGCTGCAGCAGAACTAAATCTTAACAGTTTTTGCTACAGCAATTCTACATTTCTGTATTTATGAGGTATTTAATGGAAAACACAGTACATATAAAATGTGCTAGGCGCATGCCTGGAATTCCCAGCACTCAGGAGGCTAAGGCAGGAGGACCAAGAAGAGATCAAGGTCAGCCTGGGATACACAGGGAGACCCTGTCTGAAAAAAAAAAAAAAATATTAAGTAAGACGAAATGCACTTTTATTGAATTCAAATGATTGCTAATTTTATTTTTACTGCAACAGAGTTACTTGATATTTATCTCATCAATAGAAAACAAACTGAGGGCTTGGCGTGTGACTCACGTAGTAGAGTACATGCCTAGCAAACACAAGATTCTGAGTTCAAACCCAAGTACTGCCAAAAAACAAACAACAAAAAAGGAGGACAGAAAAAACAGTTGTAGAAGCCTAATTATTACAAGGAAGCTACACAGTGTTAGACTCATTCATTTCTGAACAGAGTGCTTTTGCTCAGTTTACCTGTCCCTCAACTTAGGAAAAATCAAGTACGTATTGCTTACCCTTTTTTAAAAAATGACAGCATTAAAAGTAGCATAGTCACTTACCAGAAAGAATAAAATGCATCTACATCTTCAAAGGATGAATTCATATCACCAAGTTTAGGGACATTTTTTTGATTTGACCACCTGAAATATTAAAGAAGAATTCAACTAAAAAATTTTACACATCAAACGCTTTCATGTTTTGGGTTTTCTACCTATCCCTGTACCTACCTCCCGTATGTGTTCTCCCCTTGTCATGTGACCCAACTCCAACAACATTGCTGTATTTGCCCCTCCAGAGGAACTAATATAGAAACCTTAAAGCGACAGAGGTCAGTAGGAGAAGGGGACCAGGAACCAGTGTAAAGATCAGTTAGAGATGAATCAACTTGGGTTGTAAGGCGTTTGTACATGAAAGCAATGCTACGAATCTCTCTGTATAGCTATTCTTAACTAGCAAAAATGTTTTGTCTTCCTTATTGTTTTATGTCTTCTCTTCAACAAAATTAGAGATGAGGGCAGAACAGGTTCTGCCTAGAAGTGAGGGGGGTTGGGGAAAGAGAACAGGGGTGGGGGGCAGGGGGGAGAAATGACCCATACAATGTACGCACATGTGAATAAAAGAATTAAAAAAAATTTGCACAAAAGCCAATCTACAAATGGTCAGCATTAGCATGTTAAACAATGCAGGTGTAATTAAGTGGGGATCAGGGTGAGTTGGGAGATGGTGAAAGACAGCCTTCTACCCACCAGGTTGTCTTCAGTTCCATAAAACACAACGATGCAGCAGATGCCAGATAGGCTAGGGAAAAATGGCAAGTAGCCTCTTCTTTAAGTTCACTTACTCCTGCTCCTGACAGTCAGCAAAGAAGCAAGCTACAGGCCCAGCCCTTCTAACAACTTTAATATTTACAGAGACAACAGGTTTCCACCTCGTCCACAGAGTCAGACTTCTACGCTCAGCACTTCATCCATTACCTTTGAAAAGTATCTGGAGGCTGCTTACTGACTCATGTTTTTTACTCTATTAAGTCACAGACACACACACACAAAACACTACTATGTTTTTATACCATCTTTACTGCTAAAGTAAAACAAATATGAGAAAGGGCAGGGCAAATATAAGACTGAACCAAACTGCTAATCACAGTGGTTTGCAAAGTTGGCAGCTCCCAGATCACCTGGAAGCATTAAAACCTAGCACTATGCAAACACATTCAGTCAGAATCTCTTCAGGTGGAACTCCAGCATCGGAGGTTTTCAAGCTCTCTAATGTGCTGCCAAGGCATGCAACTGTGAGGGAATTTATCAGTACAGATGGAACCAAAACTACAAAATAATATTTATACTAAATACACTTAACGATGCATGCCTTGATTTCAAAGGATCAAAAGCTTTTCTCAGTTGATAATGAGACAGTGTTATCACTGATAAAAGGGAAGCAGAAGGGAAAGTAATAACAATTTCACACTATATAAAGTCAGATTTTATTTATTATTATTTTATATTTTTGAGACAGGGTCTTGCTATGTAACCAGGCAGGCTTTGAACTCTCAATCCTCCTGCCTCAGCCTGCTGAGTGCTGGGATTACAGATGTGCACCACTACTCCTGGCTTCTCCAAAGGAAATTTAAGAGAAAAACATCTCACAAACTGTAAAGGAATTTCTTTATGGAAAGGCAGAACTTCTGTGTAGTTCAAAATAAATGAGGATAGTAAGTTCACCAGTAAGGCTCAATACTTGGGGCTGATGGAGTGGCTCAAGTGATAAGAGTGCCTTTCTAGCAAGCATGAGGCCTTGAGTTCAAACCCCGTGCCACCAGAAAAAAAAATACATATATTGTAAGGCTCAGTACTGCAGAAACGGAAGAAGAGGGAGAGCCTGTGGAAATGTTTTATAAACAAAACTACTATCAGAGGAAAACAGCAAAAACCTGAAAGAATATACAAAGCAAGTCAAGACAGCATTATGATCAAAAGGGAATGCTTCAACTCACCTGGAATTCCTTTCAAACACTGGGGAAAACACTTCAAAGAAATTGTCCTTTGCTTCACTTTTAGAAGGAACTGAGTTATCAAATGTAGGATCTACACTGTTAAATGCTCGTCTTTTCACTGGATCAGATAACATTTCATAAGCTGAAAAAAGAGGTAAGATTACACCACTGTGAATTTACCAATTTTTTTCTAGGAGCAAACAAATATTTGGACTGTGGATGTGGCTTTGTGGTAGAGAAAAGTTAATTTGTGTATTTTGAGGTGGAGAGAATTTAGTAACAACACCTCTAGCTATACTGGAGATAAGTATATTTAACTTATTTATGTACTTCTGGTAGATAAGTAACAAAACAATTTTTAAATAGTAACTATTCAACAAACCAGATGACTTTAGGGAAGAAGAGCTAGAAAACGAATGTTAGATTCTAAAGTTATAAAAGGTGGAAGGATCTTAGGCTTCTTGAGAGTGAGCCAAAGCACAAAGAGGAAATATGAAGAGTGTGTGTGTGTAATTGATTAAAAAGTAACATCAAGCTAGGCATGGCGGTACACATTTGTAATCCCAGCCCTTCAGAGGCTGAGGCAGGAGGACTGCCAAATTCTAGGCCAGCCTGGGCTACATAGCAAGACCCTATCTCAACTACCCTACCCATAAAAAAAAGTAGCATCAACATTTTAAGGAAACATTTAGAAATGGTAGTTACGAGCAGGGTGTCAGTGACTCACAACTGTAATCCTAGCTACTCAGAGGAGGCAGAGATCAGGAGGACTGTAGTTTGAAGCCAGCCCTGGGCAAATAGTTTGCGAGACCCTGCCTTGAAAATACCCAAAACTTTAAAAAAGGACTGTCAGAATGGCTCAAGTGGTACAGCACCTGCTTAGCATGTTTGAAGCCCTGAGTTCAAACTCCAGTAACACCAAAAAAGAAAAAAAAGACAGTTACCTACAAAAATCTGCTTAATGAGGGTATGGCTTCTTAAATAGCAATAAATAATTGTGGAGAATGTACCATGACATAATCAACTCACTTATTATTTTTTGCAGTGCTGGGTAAACCTAGGGCCTTATACATGCTAAGAAAGTGCTTTTACCACTGAGTTACACCTCCACCCCCAACCAACTTAAACTAGCAGGCAATCTGAGGAACAGTTTGGTTTCCCAAAGCATGTGAAATGCCAAAAGACCTTATTTGTTCTCATTATTAAACATGCTACTTGGGAGGCAGAGATCAGGAGGCCAAGGTTCGAGGCCAGCCCAAGAAAACAGTTCGAGAGACCCTATCTCATAAATACATGACACAAAAAAGGGGCTGTCAGAATGGCTCAAGTGGTAGAGAGCTTACCTAGCAAGTGTGAGGGCCTGAATTCAAGGCCAGTGTGGGCCACATAATAAGGCCCTGCTATAAAAAATAATGCAAATTCTAATCAGTACAACTGGAGCGGGGACCAAAATTCTGCATTTCTAACAAAGCAGTAGGAGTTGATGCTGCTGGTTAAGGCCCAAGTTCAATTTCAAGTACTGCCTGGCAACTAATAAACATTAGTATGAGAAATTCCTGACTGCATTTTTTTTTACCTTTAGTTATACAAGTGAAGTAATCATTATCTCCTTCTTTTATTGGTTCTCCAGCTGCTTTCCGTTTGTCTGGGTGATGTTTTAAAACCATTGCTTTATCTGCAAAATAAATCAGATTCAACTGGTCACTTTAGGCATCAAAACTAAAAAAATAAAAAAAGGAAAAAGGATGCGCTAAATATAGACCATCTTTAAAATCAAAATGCTAATTTTAACAACATTCTCCAAAGGTAAACTATCTACTTATTAAATGTGGAATTTACAAAGCAACTGAAAAGAGTATCTTAAAAATTAGTCAAAGTGCCAGCACCCACAGATGATTACTTAGTATTTGGTGTATTTTCACATAGGCATTATTTCCTTAAGTGTATTCCTTTAAAAATTTAGGTGTGCTGGCAATGGAGCTCAGTGACAGAGCTCATGCTCAAGGCCATGGGTTGATTCCTAGACTACCCCCCAAATGTATAATGATGTTATTTAAATAAATGTATATCCTGTTTTTTAAAAAATGTATCGTTTTCCTTTTTTTTTCTTTCTTTTTTGGATAAACTTCAAAATTTTCTTTTTAGTGACTAGTGGAGTATTTCAAGTGGATTTATCATAATTTAAGCATTTCTTAGATATTTAGATTGTTTCCAATTTTTGGCGGTACTGGGGTTTGAACTCAGGGCCTACACCTTGAGCCACTCCACCAGCCCTTTTCTGTGAAGGTTTTTTCGAGATAGGGTCTCATGAACTATATACCTGAGTTAGCTTCAAACCACGATCCTCCTGATCTCTATCTCCCGAGTAGCTAGGATTATAGGTGTGAGCCATCAGCACCCAGCTATTTCCAATTTTTCACTATTATAAATACCAATTGAGTTATTCTGAATAGACATATTTATCTGTATTAACTATCCTTGTTTTGTAGGATAACTTCACAGAAATAAAATTAGTGAATGAAAATGTAGTACTATTCCAAACACTATACTATTTCATCCTCCTATATGAACATCCTTTTCACCATAGCCTCACTAACACCGGAGCTAAATCTTTAAAATTTGTGATTATAATTATACTAGTACTCAACATTTTTTTATTGTTGTTTGTATCTTTCCTTTTTTATCCACAGGAGGGATTCTCTTGATTTTTCTTTCTAGTTTGTGTGACTCACTTTTTGGCTGGCTATTAATTTCCATTGAGCATTTAACATGTATGAGGCCTATTTACCTGAATAACCCTATGAGGAAAGCACTATTATTTTCTTCATTTCTCAGATGAGGGAAATGAGGCACAGAGAGGGTAGGCAATCAATCATTACAACCTGCTCAAAGTTCTGGCCAAATCAGGCTCTGATCCAGGCAAGTCACACTCCTCAACTGAGTGTATCTGATGTCTGTTGCTAATGTCCTCCCAAAGTGTTGGGTTTACACTTAGTTTTTGTTTTGTTTTTTTTTAACTCATTTTTATTTACATTTACCTAGCACTTCCTTTAGTACTTAGATGAATATTTTCTACATTCTACTTTCATGAATACTTTCTACACTTAAATTTAAAAAATCTCTTTAAATCTTTTCTGGAATTTAGTATGGTCAAGGAATTATTTAAATTTATCAGTTTTAAAGACCCTAGCCTAATAATCTTTTCCTTTTCCACTGGCTTGTCATACTCCTTTATCAAAGTCAGTTTTATAAGGGCATGGTTTGGCTACATATTTTTGCCCAAGGATTACTTTCTAAATGAGCATGCCTCCTAGTACATCTGGGCAACTTTTAAAACTATAATTTTTGCATATCTTTCTTTTTGGTTTTCTAGGTAGATCCTACGTTATCCACAAATACTATATATCTTTCATTTTTCCAGTAGTAATCTCTTACTTCTTAATAAGACTAATAACATTAACTTCACAAAATGAATTTTTCCAAGTTTTATGTTTAGCATGCACTAGTGATTATTTCTTTGGTTTATTTAATTACATCTATTTTATCCAATTGAAATAAAATTTCCAGCACTGAATTTTAAAGAACAAAATACTCGCATTTTAAGTATTCATTTCAATGAGTTGACAACTGTATATACTCATTGAACACTACAGTAACACCCAAGGAAAATAGAAGTCATTTTCATTACCCACAGAGTTTCCTTATTTTTTTTAGGTTACTCCCATCTCCTACCAACTGGACTTTTTTTTTTTTTTGGCAGTGCTGGAGTTTGAACTCAGGGCCTTACACATGCCTGGCAGGTGCTCTACCACTTGAACCACACCCCCAGCCCCGAGTAACCACTTTCTGACTTATGTCACCCCAGGTTACTTTTTCATGTTCTTGAGATTTATATAGATAAAACCTGTAATATGTCCTGGGTCTGGCTTCTTTTACTCAACGTCATTTTTGAGATTCATCCACATTTTTGTGTGTACTGGTAATTTGTTCTTTTTTTATTGCCACATAAGATCCACTGTATTAAAATATAATAATAGTTTGTGTTATCCATTTTCCTAATACTGAACATTTGGGTGGTTTCTGTTTATGGACATTCTGAAGGAGGTTGCTATGAACATTTTTGTGAAAATCTTTTTATAGGCACATTAAACTCATCATTTCTACCTATTTCCTATTCTGCAAGGGTTCAGAACTGTGACAGATACATGTGTTTTACTAAGGTCTAAGATTTTCCTTCTAATTATGTATGAGAGCCATTTCTTGGAGAAGAGGCGTCTTCAAATTCTAAGTTGTTCAAGTAAGAAAGGAATTTATTAAAGGTTGTCAGGCCACAGACTATCTGTAAGAATCAAACCATTAGGTCTGAGGGTCAAGAATCAAATTTTACTGGACAGCGCAATACCAAGAGTATCCCCCACTGTTGTTGGGTCCAATCACTGTACCCCACACTGCAGACACTGAGCACCAGCTATAAACATTGCCATGCAGTCACAGTCAGAGAAAGCCTTAAGTTTCTCTGTGCAGTGTTCTTCCATTCTTGCCAGCAAATAGAAATTTGTACAGCACAGACTAACTTACATTGCCCTCCTTTGAATTTGAAGTGTGTGCTCAATTAGTGCAACCTAAGTCTATGCATATTCTCAACCTCAAGACATTAAATACTTTTAAAAAAATCAGGTGAGTTGTCTTCATAAAGAAAACAGTTTTTTTCTTTTACAGTTTCTGTCACATTCTGATTTATTCTTTAAGGAAATTTAGCATCTTTTTTTTTTTTGAGGATGGGATACTGGGTTCCATTTAAGGGCCTTGTACTTGTTAGGTGAGCACGCTACCATTTAAGCCATGCTCCAGCCCTATTGCTTTAGTTATTTTTTCAGTGGGGCCTTGCATTTCTGCTTTGGCCAGCCTGGACCATGATCCTATTTATATTCATCACATCTAGCTTTTATTAGTTAAGATGGGATCTCTGGAACTTTTTGCCCAGGCTGGCTTCAATCCAAAATCCTCCTGCTCTCCTAGGTAGCTAGGATGACAAGTGTGAGTCACCGTGACCCACCTGTCTCTTTGTTCTTTCCATTTGAACCTTGGGAACATTCCTCAAGGTTGCCCTGGTTTTTCTATTTTCTTCTAATTGTCCACCAGACTTTGCAATTTTCAGTTCTGCTCATATTTTTAGTTTTGATGTAATCGCTCCACTTATTTCTTGCTAGTCTTCCTGTGCAGTGCCTACCTCACCGCAATACAGTGTGTTTTCATATCTCACTGTTGTGGGGGCAGATTATGAGAAGCCTATGAGAACGTGACATAAGCACAGCTGTGCCCAATGATCTACAGGCTGAGTTTGGCATGGCCCAAGCTACAGAAAGGGAGAAGGCAAAATGCAGCACAGCTGCTTTTCCTAAGTTGTTTACATTCAGAGAAATAGAGAGCAGGTTTCTTTTGTTACAATGTCATTTCCCTCCCAGAGAACTGTTGCTCCACCTCTGTGTTTACCACTGTATATAAAAGACTTGCGGAAGGAGGGCAGGAAGGTTTTGATGGGGGATCGATTGGTTGGCTGCTTGCAAGACGTGGAAACTATTGCCCAGGTGGTTTGTGAGGGGACTGCTGCTGAATGATGTAGCTGGCTGCTGCTGCTGCTTTAAGAGAGATTAAAGAAGACATGGGACAGAGCGAGTCTAAGGAAAGAGACTTTAAAGAACAGAAGAAAAACTTTAGAAATAAGGTTTTAATGAATAAAGTAAGGTTTTAAAGAACAAGGGAAAAGAAGTAAAGCAGAAGAGAATATTAGAGGAAAGAAATAACGAGGCTGTTGTGCATCTCCCAACTTTCTGCATGTCTTCTATGTTTTCTATTGCTTGTCCTTTCTGCATCTTTGGTCACCCTCAGTTAGGTTGGTAGAACAGGAGCTCATGAGAAAGCTCTTGAGACACTGTCAGCATGTAGTAGACCCTTAAATTTTCTCTTGAACCTCGGAGAGAGGCAATGGCTCAAATCTTTTTGAGGTTCAATTTTTTCAAAGGAGGTTCAATTTTTAGTCTCTTTTTTCTTACATTTATTTTTCTTCCTGGTCATTTTTAGTAACCTATGTATCTTAGAGGATCCTGCTGTCCTACTTATACACTGTGTGTGTGTGTGTTGTA